ATACACATCTATCTATCTATAGGTATGGAAACTAAATGTTTATTTCTCAATATTAAACAAACAATCCCCTCCCCATTAGCTGAAAATGATTACATTGTATATGATGGATTTAAGATTATTTTAAGTAATGAATATTCATATAAGTAGTAAACTATTATAAGTAGTACAAGTAAAAGACACTAATGTCATGTTGTATTAGATTAAAATATGAAAAAACAAAGGCACAATTACTTTTTTCCCCCTCTAATTACTCATATAAAAATACAGAAATGGGGATAATTCACACATACAAACAAACAATTTATTGGGTATATCTAATGTATATATACACACATATATGTAAATGTAAGAGTATCGATGTAACAATATTGAGTGATATCAATGATTTGTAAATAGATCCTGACCAATATATCATGGATAACATCAACAGTATTGTAATGATGAACAATAATACTATCGATAAAGGCGACCATTAACAAAACATTTGAATAACAAATATAAACTGACTGATAGATTACCACAGATTTATTTAAGAGGAGAAGATAGGAAATCGTATACACGATTTTATGTACCCGCTAGTATGTGAGTGTGTGTGTATATATATATATGGATTAATGTATAAACAAAAGTGAGAATATAAGAAATGCCTTTTATTCTTTTTCAAGTGACAAAAAAAAGTTGGAGGTGGAGGTGGGGAACGAAAATTTGCAACCATATCAAGATATCAATCAGATGAAACATACCTCTATAACACATAGTCATAGAAACACAATCTTACAAAAGATCCAATTAACGAGTTCATAGAAATCATGAAAAATTACAAAGTTTGTAAACCAAATAGGGCAATTAACTAATGAAGAACCGGACAAGAGAATGAAACAAATAAACATACAAACAAAATGATTATATCATATAAAATTTTAATGTAAAACATAAACATCATGGAATATCCAACCTTTCATCATTATTGAATATTCAATGAAAGAAGTAGTCAAAAAATTATAATATAACCTCATAAATTGTTGCATAATGTTGGTAGACAAAATCATGATTATTGTGCATATTTTTTCTAATACCATACTCAAACATTATTATTATTAGTAGTATTAGGTACCTTATAATAGATGGGTACGTCTTGTTCATAAACAAAATGATAATATACGAAGGGGGACGAGAGAGAGAGGGCGGTAAGAGATAAGATCGGACTACAATCACATTATTATTATTACCAACATTATCCGAACAAAGAAGACAAAATACACAATTAACAAACACGTACACACACACAACATCAATTCATGTGATTAAAAATAGAATAACAAATTGATAAGTAAACAAAACAAAACAAACAAAAAATAATAATAAAACTAAATTGAGAAAGGGAAAACAATTACACGAATAAAACAAAAAAAAAATAACCGTAATTTATGTGTAAACGATCATTATAGGATATGCGTTAGAGAGAAAGAGAGAAAAGTACACAGAAGAGTCGAAAGATCAACTTAAAAGAACAAACAAGATGACAAGGAAAATATTGGTTTGTTGTTGTTGTTGTTTATGAACAGGTATAAGATGGCGGTGGAAGAGTGGAATTTAGGTGGGGTGTAGTGGTGGTAGTAGGGAAGTTGGGCGCATTATTACAAATAACTATGTTTATTATCTATATTTCATTGATACAATACATTGTTATCACTGAATGAGTTAAGAGTGTAAAAGATAGATAGACAATATATGTATATAAATAGATCAGGTGGAAATTCATTTCATCAAGTGTTCTTTCTTCTCTTTTTGCTTTTTGTTCTGTGAGGCACTGACTGAATAATAACTGATATACATAAATGTAAACATTACTGTGTTATTAATAAATATTGATGATGATCATGATATAACAAAAAAAAATAATAAAGGAAAAACAACCAAAAAACAAAGAAGTCACAAGCAATACCAAATGCTTTTGTCATTTTTTTTTCTATGAATAATACCATAAATAATAATGCTAATTATCATAATAATACGTAACAAATTGAACACCCATTAACACAGAAAGGGTATAGACACATACACACATATACATACATACATACATACATACAGAAACATGTAAAGTAAATGATATATGTGAATATTTGTCAGTGGATTAATCGGCAGTGACAGAATAGGGACCGGTCCTAGGGCTAATATCTTGATCACAAAGAAGCATTAGAATCTGGATTGTTAATATCAATATTAACCATCGGAACTATGATTATTGACAGTTGTAACAACAGTATTAGCAGGGGTAGTAGCAGTAGTAGTAAGAGGAAGAGAAGAACTGGCAGAAGAATTATTAATAGTTGTGGCATTTATTCCAATTAATAAATGATTTGATTCACTACTTGGTATATTATTATTATGGTTGGTGTTAAAATCACATCTCATCATATTGGATGATGATAATTGTGAAATGGAATGAATAGTAGCCGATGAAGTTGACTGAGATCCATCAGCATTTAAACCTTTCAAACGAGAAGCTAGTGACTAAAGATATGAAGAAAAATACAAATAGATACAATAAATACAGAGAATATAAGAACATAAAGCTATATATATATATATATATATATATATATATATATATATATATATATATATATATATATATTGCGTTTAAGTAAAATTTGACCATGCCTAACAATTGAGTTTAAGACGCGTGTTTCGTCCTGTTTGAAACTTATCAGCAAGACGTACCTGCATTCCAGTCTTGATAGTCGCACTGAGACAAATCAAGACTATATCGAGTTTAACACTGCTAGCTAAAACTTGTAACTACAGGTAACCATTGAAGCAATCCACTAAGGATATATGCGGTACTTACATATGCCTGCTATCCTTCATGGAGGAGCATCAGCCGCTCACAAGAATTCTCCATTTAACTCTATTCAGGGTAATCCTTTCCTGTTGTTATACATCCTTTTCATTACTGCCTCCTATTCCCGAGGCAATATGTTCTTTGGTCTTCCTCTTTTTCACTTTCTTTCAGGATTCCAAGTTAGGGATTGCCTTGTGATGAAATTTGGTGATTTCTTTAATATATATCCTATCCGCTTCCACTGTCTTTTCCTAATTTCTTGTTCAGACGGAAGTTGTTATTATTATTAGCTTTATTCAATATTATATTTTTGGTACAATATAGAATTCTCAGCACAAAGTATTTCAACAAGTTTCCGTTCGGCCCTGGCGATAAATATTGAGTGATCGCCAGTTAGATGTTAGCAATCCAGTAAATGAACACCTGAATAATGTACATTCTTTTCGTTGTATGTTGCCAGCAACCACATTGTCTCTTACTGAGCTTTTTGTAACTTTGACAACGAAAGGTTGTACACTTTTCAGAAATGCACCAGAATAGCTTATGCGATTAATAAACATAATGATATATTAAAACAAACAAAAATAGATAACTTGTTGAAATGTCTAAATGGTAGGAACAGGTAGCCCAGATGCTCAAGCAGGCCGCTGTTGCTGTTGCTGATTTTATCCGGCCAGCGGACATTGAGTTTCTTACGTAGACAATTTTTTATAAATACTTGTACCGTTCTGATGATGGTTGCAGTAGTTCTCCACGTGTAAACATTATATATTTGAATACGTTTAAACGAATAGTTGACATATATTTTATAAGCTAGAACTAACTTCTTTATTTTTCAAAGAACTGCCATTAATCTGATAATGTTTACTATTTTCCATAAACAAATTCCCATAGAACCCCCCTTATCTCATAAAGAAAAAATGATCATTCAAAGAAGAATATACTAAGAGTCAACGGTAGATCCATAAAACAATGTTTGATGATTGAATTTTATTGTTCTTTATTAGATACAAAAAAATGAAGCCCGTCAACAAGAGTTCATGTTAGTTTTAACTGACAAGAATAATTGTGATAACATGTACAGGACTATCTCTTTTCAATCACAAACTGAATATCAAGCTTTTCGGCAGTACTCTCTTTTTCATGGGTTTCATCTCGTTAGGAGGATAGTTGTTGAAACGTTGTATATGTTAGTAATTGTACAGTTGAGTTCGTAGTAGAACATTGTTCTCTCGCAAACACAATCATAAACATGACACAAATCTTATTCATCATAGAAAGTAAAATACATCACAATGAGAAACAGTGGAACTAAACCATCCGGAATGCCTTAAAAATAACAAAATGAAGATAGAAATTGTTGAGTAGATCCGTGATTTTCAAAACGGAATTATGGATGACCTGTTATCGATTATCATTCTTCTTGATGAAATTTCACCTTATGGCTAAATTTGGTGGTAATATAGTTGCAGATTGCCTACGGAATAATGGACCATTGAGTAACAGCATATTATATAGGTGCCATCAATAAATGATATACTGAATAGACACGGCGTTCGGAGATGTGATTACTTGATAAGTATTAAAGGTTAGGAGTATTACTGTAAAGGTAGTGTGACATTTACAATGATATAATCATTTAAAATCTTTATATCATTTGTAACTTAATACTTTTACGCAATATCTATTTCATTTGCAGAAGTTGTATTCTCATTGGTCGGTCTTAAGATCGCTATTAAAATCTATCAAGAGCATCAGCACAGTTGAGTTCTAATGTAAGAAACAAATTAGACATATTAACACAATAACCACAAATCAATTTGTAAAGTACAAGGCTTGTATAATATGAGGACGGTATGGGAAGGAATTTTTAATTATATCCTTACAAACTGAAAACAACATGCCAAAATTAGTATACGAATCTATTAAAACTCGAAATGAATAAAAATAATCAAAATACAGTAATCATGAAGCGATTGCAAAAATAGTCAAATTTTATTATAAAACAGTAACCGCACAACGTTTGACTTGTCATGTTCGTTAAATTGCTACATGCTTGAAGGTCATACTTTCCGCTACCATAACAACAACGTTTGTACCAATTTCACTTGAGTTGCTTGTCATATCACAAATATCAAGTAACTTGCTATTCCGTCTACTTCCTATGTTAGCTGTCGAAGTTTGATGTGTTGAATATAATTGGCTGTTGTCAGTTCCGAAGAAAACCGATCGTATTAGAGTAGCTGAATCATTTTCGTTTCTAGATCTGTACTGAACCCCAATAATAGGACACAGTAATTGGCGATGAGAATGGTTGTTAAAAGTGTTGCTGATAAGCTTAAACAACAGCTCAAACTGATTGATTTACTTACGTCTGTTACATCTCGTGGAGGACAAAAGGCTGCCAACCAGCACTCTCCATCCAACTCTGTCCTATGCAATCCTTTCCAGTTGATATTCATCCTTTTGATGTCTCCTTCCGATTCCCGATACAATGTGTTCTTTGGTCTTCTTCATTTACGTTTCCTTTCAGCATTTCAAGTTATCGCTTGCCACATAATGCAGTTTTTTGATTTCCACAACGTATGTTCTATCACACTGGATGAAATGTTACCTCATATCCAAATCACTAAGAACACATTACTATCAATATTCCTATATGAATTTATGTTTGCCTTCTTATATAAACTATCCATTTATAGAAAGCTGTTCTCTGATTGATTGGAAAGTAAGTGGAATTTCACTGACGTTATTTTCAGCTTACTCCTTAACTATATCTACTACCATGGATCAACTTACTAACTTCAATAAATTATCTTCGCCCTGCTTCTCACCTTACGTATTTAACAAATGAAATATATACTATTGCAATAAACATCAGCATCGATACGTTTCTATTATATACACAAACTCGATGTAAACTTGTCAAACAATGAAAGTATTTTGAAATAATGTGAATATACATAGACATATGTGTACATATTGTAAAACTGTTGAAAATACAATGCATAGATCACATAATTTTTATAACAAATCAAATTACTTGAATTTCTTGCAAATGAAGTAGTGCTTCAGTTGGTGTAATTAATTTAATTGATCCATAACAACCAGTAGTCTGTTGTTGTCCATTATTATTATTACTATTACCACCTTCTAAAGTGTCATGAACAATAGACACGTGTGTAGGACTATTCAATCCTAGCAGAACCCAACGTGCTGACATATTCGGATGAATTTCAAAATCAATATCATTATTATTAGCATTACTACCAATAGAAGTGCTATTAGAAGAATTCCTATCACTGGATTCCACAGATTGAAGGATATGATTGTTTAATGCTGAGGACACAGTCATTTTTAACATTCCGACTGATATATGCGGTGGAATGTTATGCGCTAGAAGCCATGATTTACTCGATATAGAAATGGGAATCATAGGATGATAATCTATTCCACTGTTATGCATTTCGTCAATTTCACTAACACCAGCACCAAACGATTGTCGTCTTGTGTCATTCATTGAACTAGTGACATCATTCATCATATCTGACCATCTAGGATCACCAAGTGATGAGAGTTGAGATGATATAAATGGTGGTGGCAGTCTACTGCTACTATTGCCACTGACGCCACCAACAACTCCGCCATTGCCACCACCACTACTACTACCAGAGGGTGTCCAACGCCTGTCAGTTGCTAATGAATTACGATTATTTGAAAAATTTTCGTGTAATTGTGGACTAGAACCTGACCAAGGACTAGATTCCCATAATAAAGAATCTTTAAAAAGCAAAACAAAGAGAGAAAATACACTAGTGCTCATCAAACTTGGGAGGGGGGAAACGAAAAATCCTCAAATACCCAATCAAATAAATAAGCAAATAGAAAGAAGGAACATTAAATACTATAACACTAATGGAAATACATGCACCAATTTAACAACAGCACAATAATTACGGTAAATTTGTTTATTGGCTTATATCATGAAATCACCTTGGTCAGACAACCACTGGAAACGAAAGATAAATCTAAATATATTTAGCAGTAATTATGCAACAGTTTAGCAGCTACAAATCTTACGATCCTAACGAGGGTAAGATATAAAATCTGTGGAGTTTAAGTATGAAGGGTTTGAGGTGCTTAGACGACGATAGTGTGATAGGAAGGTTGCGCAAGAATGTGAATTTCCTCAAACCAGAAATCCAAACCATCAGATATTAATTCGGTGACCTAAAGATTAAGAGCTTTCTGTGAAACTCAATATACTGAGTTTGATTACATACAGGGTTAAAAGTAGGCATTCATTAGAAGTCATACAGCAGGATAAAACAGCTATTCAATTGAGATGGTGAAGATTTGTAGCTCAGGTGGATGATTTTGGTGGAGTTTTGTTCTCTGAGCTACAAATCTTCTCCACCATCTCAAAATCATATGAGCGTAATACGCTTCTCGAAAATGGCAGAATTTCGCCAAAAGGCAGGCTTCCACTCGAGAACAACTATATTTTCTGCATGAGACACGACCAAACCATCCAGCTCAGAGAACAAAACTCCACCAAAAACAGCTATTCAATACTCTTCTTTTTCCAATAGTTTCCAAACTAATGTTTGTTCATCAAATATCGTCACAAATTAATAGGAACCTTATTCAATATTTGTATCAATTAAATGATTGAAAGTGTTAATGTAGCAATGTGAAAATAACAACAGCTGATAAAAGATAAATTGTGCAAAACAAATGCCAATAAATATTTGTCAAAATATCATTTATAACAATTTGTACAAGAATAAAAAAACAGTTTATTATTTAGCTAAAACAATAGAATTTCAATCATTAGATGAACACATGTTTAGATTGTGTTTAACCTACTATACTCCACGAAACCAAATGGTTGTGGTATACCAGCCATAAGGCCCCCTGAATGCCCTGGTACGGCCGAGAGTGGGGAGAGTCCGCTCTCCCTCTCGAAATGCTCTCACACGGCCACGCGTATACAGCCTCTGCCAGGGAAGTCCTACTCATTGCCTTCTCGCGCCACGGGTATTGTTTACGAAAATGAGAGGACGAAAAGCGAATGTCCGGCGCTTTAACCGGATTCCAAACCAGTGGTGCACATGGGCTCCAGTATCCTGCGGGAAAAAATGGCGTATGAACCAATCGTTGGTCACCGGCTACCATGGGACTGCATCTCCTTACGATGCTCCACTGCCTTGTGGGTTAGACCTTTAGGTCAAAGGCTCGGGGTGTGGCCCCCTAAGATAACCACCTGCTTCGGTTTGGGCACCCGGGCAGTATCACAGCCCACACACAAATGATGAACTCTTTATGTCTATGGAAATTATTTTTCTCGCTTCGAAAAACAATCAATTGATTCAAATTATGATCACTACAATTATTGTCATTATTAATACTAATATTATTATTACTACTATTATTGTCATTATTGTTATTATCATCATTATTATTATTATTTTCCACATTATTCACCTTCTTTTATACTTATACAGCGGCTCGTCTTTGGTGGAAATTCGACTGTATCTAAACGTTCTCGAGTCACTGTCCGGTTGAAAATTGTATGTTACCACCGAATACGAAGACTGAAGCAGTTTTTCTGAAACCACGTGCACCATTCAAACAGGCTGCCTTCAACGTTCGCACATTTATGCAGGTCGGACAACAGATAGGACTGGCTATGTCTTTGGAAAGTCTTCATATCGATGTTTGTTGTTTATCTGAGACTCGTATTCAAGACTCTGGCGAAGTACTACAAATTCGATCTCCATCTGTTGCTTCAAAAAGCTTGTTTTAAGTGCGCTTATCCGGGGACTCTGTGCCAACTTTGTCTAGTCTTGCTGGCGTTGGTGTCGCACTAAGCGCTAGAGCTGAGGCAGCACTAGTCGATTGGATCCCCATTAACAGTCGGTTATGTGCTGTTAGATTAGAAAGTTCCATCAAAGTGAGAAGAAATAGGCGTGAGAAAAGATGTCTTTTCGTCATCTCCGCCTATGCCCCGACAGATTGCAGCCCGGATGCAATCAAGGATGAGTTTTACCACCAGTTATCAGTTCTTCTCCAGAAAGTGCGTTCGACAGATATTGTAGTACTAGCCGGAGACTTGAATGCTCAGGACAGGCGTCTAGGCACAGAAGAGAGTCGTTTAGGTGGCCGATGGGGACTCGTTGGTCGCAGGTCAGATAACGGGGACCGTCTACTGCAACTGTGCACAGACCGCAACCTGTTTCTGGCTAGCACTAACTTTCGGCACAGTCATCGCCGATGTGCCACCTGGCGTCCTCCCTCTGCATCTCAAGCCTGGACTCAGATTGATCACATCGCGATCAGCTACCGCTGGCGTGGTTGTGTACAAGACTGCCGCTCCTTTTGGAGTACCTATCTGGACTCTGACCATGCCTTGGTCTGCGCCAATCTTGCCTTACTTTTCAGTGGACAACGAAGTGACCGCCATCAACGGATTGATGTTAGCAAGCTGGTTGCAACTTCTGTTGCAAGTAAGTATCGAACTGAGCTAGCCTCTAGGCTAGCTACCACTCCACCGAAAAGTATAGATGAGCATTGGTTGCAATTGCATGACGCCATGAAAATGGCGGGAACAGTCAGTTGTGGGTTTGCGAAACGTCCCGCTTTTAAGCACTGGGTTTCTGCAGGTTCCTTACAACTCATTGAAGCCCGTCGGTCTACTCCGGGTGACCGTGAGTTTGACCATAAACGAAGGATGCTATGTAAGGAAATTGGGCAAAGCTTGCGTAAGGACCGAAAAGCCTGGTGGTCGATGCGTGCTAATGAGCTGGAAGCAGCAGCTGCATCTGGTAACTACCGGAAGCTCTTCCAACTCATCCGAGCAACTGGCAGCAAGAAGTCTGGAGTGAGTGAAACAATCTGCGAGGATGATGGGATGCCAATCACTAACATCCATCGACGTCTTGGACGATGGGCAGAATTTTTCGAAGGGCAGTTCAACTGGCCTGCTGCTCAGGCAACATCGGTCAGACTGTCCTGCCCTCCATGGCCGGTGACGACTGATCCACCAAATGAGGAGGAAGTCCGCAAGGAACTCCAACTCTTGAAGCGTTACAAATCACCTGGCCCAGATGACTTACCTCCGGATCTTTTTAAAGATGGTGGTGACTTTCTGACTAAGGAATTGACGACGTTGTTTACAAAGGTTTGGGAACTAGAGAGTGTACCAACGTCATGGAATGAGTCGATAGTTGTCCCTATCTTTAAAAAGGGTTCACGTCGTTCCTGTAACAACTATCGAGGGATAAGTTTACTTTCGATTGCGTCCAACCTATTGGCTTCCGTCATTCTTCGTAGGTTGTTCAAAACCCGAGAAAGATTGACTCGCGAGGAGCAGGCTGGGTTTCGTTCTGGTCGAGGATGTATTGATCATATCTTCACCCTCCGCCAAATGTTAGAACACCGCCATACTTTTCAAAGGCCAACAATCGTAGTGTTTCTTGACATCAGGGCTGCCTTCGATTCGTTGGATAGGACTGTTCTCTGGGATTGTCTATTGAAGAAGGGTGTGCCTGAGAAGTTTATTAACATCCTAAAAGCCCTGTATAAAAACACCTCAGGCAGAGTCAGGGCATACAACCACCTCTCTCCATTGTTCCAATCGAGCAGTGGGGTTAGACAGGGTTGCCCAATCTCACCATTCCTCTTCAACTTTGCCATCGATGACATTCTGGAAACAGCTCTGATGGATGTAAGTAATGGTGGTGTGGATCTGTTGCCTGGAGAAAGACTTCTCGACCTTGAGTATGCGGACGATATTGTCTTACTGTGCGATAATGCCCAGGCCATGCAATCCGCACTTAATCGGTTGGCAATCAATGTCCGTAGGTATGGTATGTGCTTTGCACCTTCGAAGTGCAAAGTACTTCTACAAGACTGGCAGGATTCCAATCCTGTACTCACCC